GCCAAGTGAGCACTCAAGTGCTCATGTAGTAAGTAAAACTGCTGTGTCTTCTCTCCATGCTGCTCCCCTGAGCAGGGGGAGATACTACCCATATAGGAATGGATACTTCCCATACAGGAATGGAAGTATCTGACTAAGAGGAAGACTAAAAAAAATAAAGAAAACTGTCAAAATGTGGTCTGTTATGATCACAGAGCCTATGAGAAAATCTTAAACTACAGAGAAACCTGAGTATTAAAAACAGACTGAAAATTTCTGCATCCTTTTTATTGCAGTTCTCTGATGCTTTAATTGTAATGGGTACTTTGTTGTTATGATGCCAATCTTCATTTTTTATTTATTTGCTAAATTGTTTGCTATCAGAAGAAACAGAAGATGATTTATATATAAAAACCCATCTGCATAGATTTGTGAAAACGTAACTGCACATTCTAACATTCGGTCTGAAGACATATTGATTATATCCAAGAGACCTATTCGTTAACAAATTTAGGGCCACAGAAATGGATTGATTTCCTCCCCCCTCCCAGTAATTCTATAATCCAAATAAAACAAAGTGCTTACAAACATCCTAAGGAGCAAATCTGGTTGTGATTTCCAGTAGAAATCAGAGTTCAGTTTCCCTTTGTGGAAGATGATGTATGAAGCTGACGAAGGAACCATACTTCATATGTGCTAATGAAGACTAGAGCTGTATGTTCTTTGCTTAGTATGTGTTTAAATGCTTAGTTGGTCACTGTCTATAGGTGAAGACACTTACAGTGTTAAGGCTGCTGTAGTGCTACTATCTATCCTTCCACTCCATGTCAAGTGGGACTACTGAAATTTGGCACATAGAAAAAGGTTATTAACAAGGTTATTAAAGGTTATCAACCAAGACTTGTGAAGAATGATTGCTGTTGCCCTGTGTAATCAGCAGAAAAATAGAGAAACACATTTAAAACACTGAAATCACCAAAGAGGAAATAGTTATTTGCATAGATTGCTTCAGAAAACAGCAGGCAATGAATTCGTATTAACACAATGTATGCTATACAGCAGATTTCTCAAATCCATTAAATACTGCCCAGAACAGTGTTGAAATACTGCACCAGAAAATACTAAGCATCTGCCTTAACTCTGCCTGAGAAATACAATTATATCTGTTCCCTCCCCTCTGGTAATTCTCAAAATGGTTGAGATGATCTCAGTGAGAGCAGATTTTTCTGTTAGTCATTGCATCAAAACCCACAGTGAATTCTAGGTAGGGCAGCTATAATACACGTCTTGTAAATATGCATTCTGTATTTAAATACATTCTTAGAAGAAGGCTTAATTTAAATTTCTTATAATAAATTAGGCCTCTTAATCATTAAGAATTCAAATTACCAAGATACAAACCCAATTTATCTTATCTACCTATGCCAATTTACATGTACATGTCCTTAAGTAAACATGGGAGATAAGTCATAAATTGGAAACTCTATTTAGATGGGAGGAAGATTTGTTTATGTTGCATAAGGAACTGCCAGCAGTTATTGTTAAACAGTGTTCTTGAACACAGACCTAAGAAATTCTAATTTAGGGGAAGCCAGTGGGTATTCACATTTTTCCATTAGTGCCATTTCTATAGTGGAAAGACAGAACTTCATTTGCAATCCTCAACCACTGACTTTGAAAAAGTTTCTATCTTTGTGCAAGAATCATCATTTAATTGGAATTTCCTGCACTGCATTTATGTACAAAGCTGTGAGTAGTCTTATCATTACCATTGTTGTATTTCCATTTTAATTACATTTGCAGCAGATTTCTCACCCTGTGATTAAACATACAGGTGGAAAAATAACACTGAAGAGGCAATGATGGGACTAAGACTGTATTTCTTTTTCTAATTTGCTTCTGGTTTACGCAGAGATTCTATTCATGGGGTATTACTATCTATACGGTATAGAGAGCAGAGTGGTAGACTATGCTTTCCCTTATTTTGGCTGCAGCCTGCTGTGAGGAGAGGGGAGCTTCCTGGAGAAGCACTGACCTTTCTGGAGGAGCAGCTCTAAAGCAGAGGGTGGGCAGACCCACAGCCAGCAGGGAACAGCAGGCAAGAAGGTGGAAATGAACAAAAGGGTTTACTTGCAGCAGGGAAAAGGCTCAGAACCAGACCTAGAAATAAAGAGTGTTTCTGTAGGAACCTAGTGGGGAGCAATGTCAATTACATTCAGATTAGAAGGCTGCTAAAGTTGCCCAAATGGAAGGCAAAATTAAGGAATTCACCCTGTAAGGCACACTGCACAGGAGATTATTTGCAAACCTTTTAATCAGGGTCCATTGATAAGCCTCAGCATTCTCTGCAGAGAACTGTCCTGCTTTAGTTTGAAATTTTGTGTGCTAATACCATCATACTTTAAAGACAGAAAGGTTTTGGTTTCTTTTAGCATATTCACTTGAAAGCAGACCTACTCAGTCTCTTTTTAAAGCCTTTGGTGACTAAGGGGGCTGTCAGCTAAAAGTGATAAATACATAGATGATACATTATATGAAAATTATATATACATGTAAATATTAAAATAAGCTAAAAATTATATGCGAGATGTACTATGACACATATTCCTGGCAAGAGCAAATTTAATTCCTAAAATTAATTTAGACATAATTCTTCAGCTGCAGTTCTTTCTTTTCTATTTTAGCATGTCCTCTATTAACTTGAGTTGCTCTTCAACAGCAGTTTAGTAGTAGGGGGAAAATGCCACAAGGCTCATTTAAAATCTAAGCCCAGGATATAAATTCCCAACAATGGATATCTTGAATAGTCAAAATATGATCGCCATTATTAATCATATAGAAAATTTCCATATTTAATGCTAGAATTGTAAACTCTGGAAAAAAAAAATAAAAGAGCATCTTCTAACTTCATTTCTGTAATACCAAGAGAGATAAAATCCCACTGTGACATATATACTCTTCTGTTTCCTAGAAATAAGATTTCCCCTTCTTTTGGGTCAAGTCATACATAATAAATCACTTTCTTGAGACAACTAGCTGATTAAGATCCCTATTAACTAAAGAAAACATCCTTCTTTCACCCTCTCTTAAGTTTGTGAGCAGTTTGAGTCAAGCAGTTCTGGGTTCGGTACACTTTTTTTTCTTGTTTTTAAACAACTCATTTCAGACTAAATCCTTTTGGCATCTGGTAATCTGAATTATCCTTTCACTAGAGTTTATGGCTGTTGCTCAAATAAGAAAAAAGGGACTATGGTTTTTCATAAGGCCATGCACAATCCTAAGGACTTTTCCTACCATATAGTTGAAAATATTTTTTCTGACTTTCATAAGACTTTCCCTGCTCTAAAAGGGTTGACATTAAGCACAAAGTAAAATCAAAACACCGCTGTCTGAACTTGAAGCAGCAGAACAGCCTTCAAAAAATCCTTAGGGGACCACTTAGAATTGCACAGATAAGCATCTGTGACCACACAGATTCTTGTAATAAAAAGATTTTTTAAACCGAGTTCTACTGAGCACATACACTGTGCTCTCAAGCTGTTCAAGTGTCTTCTCCTGTGTTTCTCTCCTCATTGATTTACTTCTTTAAAGAAATAAAAGCCCTTTAAGTTGACAAAACCATTTATGTTTTCACTAGAAAGAGAAAATTATACAAATGGCTATGCAGTAATCTTTAAACCATACACTGAGCAACTGAGAAATTGGTAGGTAAACCATTCCTCTAGAGATGAAGACAAAAAACTTCATTGTGGTCAGCTTAGTATGCCTGGTTAAATTAGATGGTGTAGTTCTCGCTTGCTGCTTGTAGGCTACATAAGTGTTTTTCACTCACTGTTGGAAAATAAATTTATTCTAAACAGTCCAAATATTTTCATATCTAAGTGACCCAAAGATATACATCGAAGTCTGAAACACTATTTCTTCATTCTCTTATTTATCAGTTCTGATGGTAGAAGCATTAAGTGCAGTCTGCTAGCTATACAAAGGAAAAAATAAATTAATAGAAGATCATTCACCTGGTTTACTATGAATTAAGTGTATTTGCAAGGGCAAAAAAAAGAGATCCAGAGAGCATATCCTCTCTTGCTATTGTTTAAAAACAAAATTTAAAAAAAATATATTGTTCATTTAAAATAATAGCTTTTATAGAACGAGTCTGGTTTTTTCCCTTACCGGAAGGTTACAGGAACAAAACACAATTAATGCATTTGCTGCCATTCCTGATTAAAATGAAAAGTTAAAGCCCTGTATATCCTGTCTTAGACTGATTTTAAAATGTTTATTTTTCAGATAACGTCAAGATCATGGTCATTTCAGAACAACGGTTTGCAGTCTGGAGCAGTGGCTGTTCCACGGATCTCACAATAACAAGTTATCCCTGTGTCCATCCAGACAAAAACTGGAACATGTTTGCTAATACAGCTCACTAATTACAACTTCCTCCCCTTAAAATGTATCATTTCCATTATTGGTTTAATTTATAATTTTTTCAAATTAAAAACTTTCCCCTATTTTAGTTCTGAACTAAGGACTAAACAGATCCCTGTAGCTGATTAATCCCCCAATTAATCAGCCTTGTACAAATGTGATTGGGACAACAGGCTGAAGGGCTATGCAGGATTTATGCTCTATTGCTACACAGAAGATAATTTCATCACATGTATCTACTCTTGGGTTTATCAGCATAATAAAACTAAATATTCTGCCCCTATAGTACCCAAGGCCAGCCTTTGACTTCAGACTTTTACCAAACATCTTCATTTTCTCTTTCTCCTGAAAAAAAAGACACATGGAATATCTAAGAACTTGTGCTCCACAGCTGCTTAGAGATTTTCTCTGAAATGACTAGTAATAACACTGAGAATATGGTGTAAACTGCATCATAACTAATTCACCAGTTTTGAGGGAGGCCAAGTTTCACAACTGATGCATTCAAGTCACTTCAAAGGAGTTCAGTTTCTTAAATTCAGTGTATCTCAACATTATAAAAACAAACAAAAAACTGAACAGAATATATGAAATCCTGAAAATCAGGATTTATTAAATAGCAAAGGCAGTTAAATAATTTTTGTGCAGTAGGAGATCAACATTCCCAAAGACAGCAACTTTCATGTACTTAATAGGAAAAAAAAAAGTAAAATTTGGTCAGGAACTATTCGAGGACAGCCTTGCACCTGCTACTGTGTGTGTTTTCTGGTCCTGTATCTAAATTTGAATGTGAATCTGTCTTCATATTAAGTGGAGCAGATATTTACCATGTTGCCATTCTGCAGAGACTGTTTCTTTCACTGCTGTTAGTTTCACAGAGGAAAAGAAGCTTTTTAAGGTGAGGAAACTGTTGGCAACAAAATAAACTAGCTTGGTAAGAGATCAGGAGGTTTCAATCTCTTGGCAAGAAATCAAAGTTTCCTTCCCTCCTTTGTTTAAAACACTTGATCCACTATTCTCTGCACAAGGCATATGGAAAATTCTAAAGACATCTTTATTCCTTTCCCTGCCTGGGACCAGTATTATTTTCCCTGCCTGGAACTAGTGTAACTAACATAAGAGTATTTAGAAGGACTGAATATAAGAGTATGTATTTGGGTTTAGTTCTGCTGTGTAGTAGATGGTGGATTATGAATTCATGAGTTACAGGACTTTTCATCCAGCATCTGTCACCACATTTTCATTCACATCAAAAAGAATGTAACATTTTGATTTAGCATTGACACAGAAAGATGGGGAGAGAAGCAAAAATGTGAGCGGAAGAAATTAGAAAAATCACCTGGGGAGGAAAGGGGTGGGAACTCAGGAAAACCAGTATCCATTGTTTCATTTAACAGAGAAGGATTCTCATTAGGAGAGAATTTCATCTTATACTAAGATGAAAGCATGAGAAACTACTGACTCCTAGGTTGTATCAGACAATATACCATTATCTGATTATTTTAAGCAGCATATGAAGTATCCTTACCATTTAGTACAGAGCACACTTTCTAATTTCTTCCTCTATACAGGATGAAAAGATGCAGTTGTGCAATACAGCTATGGAATCTCAGAGAGTTCATCCTTCTTAATGCAATTCCTTATTTTTTTTTAATGCACGTGTCCTCTGATAGCTCTTTAGTTTGATGCTAGCTTCCAGAAACCATGTTTGAGATTACTCTTCTGTCAACTGGCCTTCTGTATGAGTTCAACAGTTTCCTCCTGTTGTTCATGATATCCTGTTGGTATTATGTTTTGGAAACAGAAGCAAAATTCTTTTGGGCTTGTTTGTAAATCAGGCGTCTCTCTCCAGTTTATTACAGAGCAACAGGCTAAACTGGTAACTGGTACCAGTGATTCCTCTTTATGACCACGATGTTGTTGTTACCAATAATGACAAAAATTGGCCATCCCTCTTACTACAAATTTAATTCCTTCATACAAGGAAGTGCACAAACAGGATTCCTTTAGGAACCGCCCTGATTGATATTGTGGCAGACACTTTCTCACCAGTTCCACTCTGATCATCCCTTTATATCAAGAAATAGCTCTACTGTCATTTGACCTAGAGAGAAAGTTCCCGTTAGGAACTTTTGTTTGACTGAACTGACTTAATGCATCATATAACATGACTTTTCTCCACTTTCATATTACTAAAGCCACTTCTGATTTACATGCTGATGTCAGAAATGAGCTCAAGCCCTCAGAAGCAACCACTATGGCAATAGGCTCTGCTCTACATTCTCCTGAGAAGTCCAGGATATCGGAACAATTTCTCTCTCTGTAATTCCATCAATTCACTTCCATAGACTGACATGTAAGCAGGCACTGCAGACTAGCAATGCAGATTAAAGAAAGCTTTCACTGCTGTTCAAAAGGTGTTCAGTCAGACTAGTATATATTACTGTAGGAATGCTTTCAGGCAGGACTGATTAACAAATCTGTTCTTACTTGCAGCAGACCTTTTACCACAGTGATTCAAGTCACGAGACATGTCTAGCACATCCCATGTCATGCTTACATGAAGTCTTGCAAAGCAAACATAACTGAACATTCCTGTACAATAGCTGTTTTTTTAAACAGTCACTCCACTATTGTTAACTGAACTACAAGTTATGACAACTGAGATATCCATAGTCATCCCTTTGGCATTCTTTATAAAAACATGAATCACGGAAACATTCATCATTAGGAACTCCCATCATAAGGGCATGTATACAGTGCCTCATTCAGTCTCACTGTATCTTTCCACTCTGTAAAATGTAACTGTCAGAACAACTTGAATGAATCATATAGACCAACATGTAGGTTTGGTGAAGAAGAACTCTGATAAAACACACGTCAAAATTAATTACTTATGTTTAGCTTCAAGTAATGATTGTGTACAGAAGAAAACAAAAAAATTTCTTTTTTTCAGAAGTCATTCTACCACACATTGCAATAGCACCATGTTGGTGTAATCAGAAAACAAAACACTTGGAAGAAAGTGGTTCACTGACAAAGCTCAGACATTGAAAAGCATGGACAAAGAGCACAAACAGTATAAAATAACTACTAAAACAGACTGCACTTGCACTTGGTCAACAAGAAAGGGAGAAATTAACCACTGAAGCTGCCCCAAAGTTGTCAGAGGAAAAGTAACCAGAACTAACAAATCCAAAGCCCTTTCAAAGAGACTCATGGTTTTTTTCCCATGTTCGCCCTGAAAAAGCATTTCAACACTTGGAGTAACTCTTGGCTGAAAACGGTGCTGACAGCTATTCTTTATGGCAACTTTTCTGTCCAAGCTACAGAATTAACATTGCTTCCCTAAAGGCTAAAGTTGCTTCACTGAGAATTGTGCTAGCCTTCTGGAGGCGACAGGAGGGTACAGATGTGGAATGAATGCAAGAACAACATACTGCATCATAAAAAGGAAATTAATTCAAGAGAACAGTGTGAATGATGCTACCTACAGGTGTCACCAGCTGTATTTTCCCATGGGCGTAGATACTTTCACTGCAAGAGACACAGTAACACCCCTCTGTGTTCTTGGTCTTCCTCTTCTCCAGGCAAGAGATGCCTAAAAGATTTCCACTCCCTTATAAACACTAAGTATTTATTCACATTTTTGCACATGCAGAGGGCTAACTGGTAAGAATTTTACACTACCTCTGCTCAGTTATATAAATGAAGTCAGAGAAATATCAAACAATGGGTTTATAACACTAATCTTTTTAAAATGAAATACTAGATTTGTGTTACTTGCTGTAATAATGCAGTGCCTGATAAAAAGTTGTATGCTTAATTGCATTTGTTTTCACCTTCTGTCCATATATTCCTTAATGTGTCTGTAAAACTCCCTAGGGCTATCATAATGCAATGTTTCAAATGTACTCCCCTAAGCCACAATGATCAGAGGTGACCCTTATCCATAGCATTACAAGTGTCAGGTCTCATCTACAGAAAGCAAGTAATTTCTGCTATCCATAGATTTCAAAATTGATGTGTTTGCTTGGCTTTTAGGATAAGTCCCAGAACTGGCAGGATTTTCAGTGCTTCTGTATTGCTATGAGCCATAGCTGCTAAGATCTTAATTTAAATCCTATTGTAAAGAAAAACACTACATATAAAATATTTTTCTGCATTTCATTACTTCATAAATAGATTGAAGGAATTTAAATCTTTTGTTATTAAAAATCTTATGATAAAAAGATAAAAATTACTATCATAGCCTAAAAGAAGCAATTTATACTTTTTAAGGTAAATGACATGAGCATACTTACTTGCCTTAATCATAGATGTGGATGTTCAGGTCAGAAAAATGTTACATATGTACCATTAGAAGCTGTAAAAGCAATAATGTTTAATTACAGTATTATGAACATTTTATTAGTAAAAACCAATGCTGATATTAAAAGCATATAAACCCACACATCACTTTATAGCTAGACTGCACAATTACAGGCAATTACATGCTCTAACTGGAGATCTTGTCCTAGTTCTATTTTGCTTCCTGTATTCTCATTTGTTTATGGCTGAAGAAATAACTGTCTCAAGTATTATGTTTGCTAAGAGGCTCTTAAATTAATGTAAAGTTGCCATACAGATGCTACTTGATAGCCTGGAAATTGCACACAGGTTCTAATTACTATCTCTATTTTGTACTGGAATAGAAAAGCAAACTAATTGCTGCAACACAAGGTGTTTATTGACTAAATAAGCCTTTGCCATGATACAAGTGAAGGTAAAACAGCTACAGCTTTATTGCCACTGATAATCTTTGTGAACAATGACTTCACCAGGTTAATATTAAACCTCATTTTGTTTCTTTATGCTCATTAGAATTGGAGGGGTATTGGTAAGGGTAACAGGGACGGTATCAAATAAAATTTGGACTCGAGATATATTGGAAAGCTTCTCCTTTCATACACTCTCAGTGCCAGCAGCCTTTCTTCAGTGTTGTCTAGGGTACTTTAAATGGTGTTCTTGTAAGAACAGATTTCAAGCCCTTATGAATGTTACATTTCAGCCTTCTACAATTAAAATTACCAAGTAGTTCTAACAGCAGTACTAAGTAAAACAGAGTAGGAAAGACAGCACTGTTAGTACAATCACTACAGAATGGCCAGGGCACTCAGTAACGTTTCACAGATGACATTTAATGCAATAGAGTTCACAATTTAGTTTTTTAGATTACATTAACACTTGAATGCATTTTAGCTGCCTGAAAAAGAGGCAGGCAAGTGAGACACCACAAAGCTGGCAAAGGAGAAGGAGACAGCCAGAAGAAAAAAATAACAGTTTCAAATTACACGTTTTTCTTTTGCCAGGAGAACTAAGTATGCCACAACCACAAGGTTATTCTCCCACAACTTCATCCCTCATTTTTCATCATGAACATCTAATGACTTGGTCAATACTTTTCACTTGGGCTCTGATCTTGAACACTTGCATATATATTTAAATTTACTCACATTGAGGAGCATCATATACTGCAATAGGACAATTCAGCAAATGCGTACATCTTTTAGGATCGCTGGCATTGTTTTGTTAAAGTGAAGCAGGATGTTAAAATATCTTCCTGAAAATTTAACAAAGAACTTTACAGAGACAGGAAGAACAAGTCGACCATTCTGAACCGAACATATTCCTTAAAAGTTGAAAAGAATGTTTAAGAGACACACTCAAAATGCTAACAGAAATACAGACATAATCTTTGCTCTGCTCTCTCTCTTCATAGTGCAAACAGCAGTTGTCCATGCTCTGAAATAGAGAATTTCTGAAAATTAAAATGATTTCAAACTAATACATTCTTCTTTGTCATACACTGTGCCAAACTGCATTATCAGACTTGTGATGTGTTTCTCTGAATGATTAATGGAACACTTAACATTACAGTATCTCACTGATATACAGTGTCAATAAATCCCAACAGGACTTTGGGTTCTAAAACTAAATAACCTAATGTTCTGTGCATATGATGTCCTGAAATCAGAGATCTCAGTATTGCAATACATTTGGAAAAACCCAGACTTGCAAAACCTGGTATCATATGGCATATATGATTCTGACATGACATTAAATTCCGTTTCTGTCTATATAACCTTTTTCCATATGGGAACATGTATACACTGAAAATCAGTTATACACTGGAAAACGTACAGCTATTTCACAGCAATGCTTTATGGCTCTGGAGGACTTAAAATGGCATTTCTATGGATTTGAGGTGTACCAATTTGGGACATAAATTTGATGCCACTAGCACTAACTGGTCTCACCAAGCTGTAATGGAGGGCAGATGTGTGTTCTTTTGGAGCAGTTTCAGCTTCCACTTTGGGCAATGGAAATGATGGCTACATAGACTACAGTAAACAGCATGCAGAATCAGTTTTAAAAGTTGTTGCAAACAACTACCACCAATTTTCTTATCGTAGAAAATCAGCAGGATGCATCTTATGAGTAATACACTTCAGCAGCAGCAAGTACTTGCAGAAATGTTTCCAATTAACTCAATTTAGGTTGCCATGAAATTGAAAAATAAAACACATCAACATTTTCATAAGAATCAATAAACATTTAAAGATAGTGTCAATTTGCACACATAACCTTTCCACCACTACAGCACTTAACACATTTTGCAACTACTGAATTAAAATTTATATTGCACTGAAATACATGTCTTGTAAAAGCCAGTTAAAAATTGTTTTTGTCTGTTTATAGCTTAATTTATGATGAAAATATCATCAAAAATTACCAGGAAACCTAATAAAAGTTTAAAATTGATTGTCAAAAATAATGTGTATTTACTTATAAACACATTTTCTTTGTATATGGTATTACAACTTAAAAGAATAGACTTAATAATAAATAAATTCTTTATTCAATTAAATTGGTACAATCTTATCGTCACTGTTAAAATCAACTTTCAACAGTTTGATCCTGTCAGTTTTATTTCCTAGTGATATGTAGAGCCTTCTGTTACATTTTATGACAATTTGAACATATTACAAACAAATCATCCAAAAACTAACAGAAATCAAGAAAACAACAGACAGTCTGGCTAACCAGTAAGATTCCACATTTGACATGGTATATGAGCTCCATTGTCTAACTGTGAATATTACTCAAAAATTAAAAATCTTTTCTGAAAACTGTGGAAGAAAGAGGAAATGTTAGTAGAAATAACAAGAAAATACAAAGAAAACCAGCAAATCGTTGTATCCAAAATGGTAGTCAGTAATTTTCAAAAGGTGTTGCCTCTTCACTTTATGATTGCTTTTTGTATTCCTGAATTTCTATTATTCTAAGTTTCTTGGAGAAATATTGTGCTTCATCTTGGTAAATCTCCAATAAAACAAAAAATACAATCTTTTTTGTTACAGCAAAGGAAAATAATATAGTCTATACAGCTGGTGGTCCTACAAAGCGTGCCAATGTTATATTACACTGATTGGTTCTTCTTAAACAGATGCACTGAGTTTCTGAAACAATGCCAGAACATGGAAAGTTCTGACGTGGGTGCTACTCTTTTTTGTTAACAATGTGGTATTTACAACAACAAACAAACTCCTGACTTAGCTTCGCCTCCATTTGCGTAACCCCCAGAATCTACTCTGTTAGGATCATTCAGTTCTTCAAACAGTCCTGTTTCAATAATTTCTTCCTGCCAGGCTACAGGGACAGCACCTGTTGCAAACTTTTTGAAGAACTGCTTATCTTTGTCATCAAACTCAACTCCTCGTATTTCAGAGAAGTCAGCAATGTCTGTAACATCTTTGGCATAGACAACTGATGGATCTGGCACAAATGGAGGGTCAATAAGGTTTGCCTCTAGCCTGTGAAAATTTATCGTTTTGAAGAAACTATGTTTTCTTGGGTCATCATCTTCATTTCTGCAATAAAGCAAAAGTGTATTAATCAGTATGATGTTCTGCTCTGGACAGATAGAGGTGTGTCTGTGTTGTATATGTGACAGTATTGTAAGGAGATAAAGATATATATCTCATGCAAAACAATTCTTTTCTTCATAATGAAAGAACACTTCATTGCATAATATAAGCAAAGCTGAGAAGAAGAAAATATCCTGAGCCCATTATTCATTACTCTGCCTCTCAGGGTAAATCAGTCCGGGCAAGGTGCCATGTAAGGGTTGCAGTGCTGCTTTTGCCAGTGCACTGAGATACCCATAACCAAAGATACACTTTAACCATAACTGAAGATACTGCAGGATGGGGAGGCAAGCCATTGGATTTAATGCCCAACAATGAAAGTTCATATTAAAGCTCTATATTAACTAAGATCAGAATATCTATTAACCCAATGTATCCAGTCTTGAGTTTAATACATCTAGGGACTGACTCTGGGGAACAACAGTCTGAACAGGGAACTGGTGCAGATGACATTTCTGGTTTTATCTTAATTCAAAGCAGCTAGGTATTTACAACATAAAACTCGGTTCTGTTGCTCTAATAAGCACTTCCAGTTTTAGTGAGTCTTCTTATTCAAATGAACTATTATAAATTAACAAACATTTTAAGCATGGTTCACAAATCACAATAATAGCAAAAGTATGTGTACCACTGTCACAAACATAATCATTAATACTATTATAACCCAATAATAAAATCCAGAAATGACTAAAATAATTGTAAAAACATATTTTAAGTGTATCTTCTGAAAAACAACTGCAGAGCTCAGGGAGAACTTTTGCTGTAAAAGAAACAGTAAATTGTTTCATTGTAGACCCAGGAAGAAACTTGTAGGATATTCTGGTTATAAGAACAGTCTCAGCCTCAAATATGTGTTTGTGAAACCATGACCAATGATCACAGTTTTTGAATGGTGCCTCTAGCATCATGGCATACAAAGTTTGAGTTTTGAATTCTAGTGATAAGAGAAGAGAGGGCCACTGTTTTCTACACCTATGCACTCTTTTTTTTTTTTTTTTTATGTATGCAGTGGTCTTGAAAATGGAAGCAAAGGAAAAAAAATTGCGTGGTTTTTGGCCCCAGAAAATGGTAGTTACCAACCAACATGTTGCTTTTTTCTTTTCTCAATTCCTTGCAAAATCATACACTTAGCAAAGTGTAAGACCTCATGTGTTTCTAGACAATGTTTGAGGTGAACAAAATGTAATGCAAACCTCTGGCAAGTCTTTTTATCTTTGCAGATGTGCAGAAGCACCATAAAGAATTAGTACATTTGTGTGACTATAGAAAAATCTCAATTTTTTAAGACTATGTATGCAGAACAGCTCCTCTAGCTTGCTAGTCTTGCCAGTTCCTCATTTGCTGTCCTGCTGTGCCTCTACCCTGCCTTGCTGCTACCCAGGCACAGCTGAGATGAAACGACCAGCTGTACTTTTCAGCTCCCTTGGTACAGAACTATCATTTTATGCTTCTGCTGCCTGGTTCTTCTTTACCAGCCACTAACCACTCTACAGCACAATGACGAGGATGCTAAATTACATCCTGAAGAACAATAGATGCTGCCATGTGGGCACCCTGGCCTATGAAAATATGCTGTTTTCAATCCAAAAGAGCCGTATGAACATGATTATGAATGTACAGATTAAGCCAACAGGAATCATGACTTCTGCATATAGTCTTGCAAAATCTTCTCCTAACTTAACTAGCTAGTGATAACCAAGTACTTGAGCAGCCCTTGAGCCTGGTGTGATTTATTTACATTCACTGTTAGCTTGAAATGCATTAGAGTTGCTATTCAAATTAACAAGTGTCCTGGGACACTAGAGAGCTCGTAGTGCTGATACACCTACTGGGCAGATGCACCCACAAAAGTTTCACTTTATTTTGCTTTTCCTTTCTGTTACATAAGCCAAAGAAGCTGGTGAAGGCTCCAGAATGGATTGTAGCAGTATTTATCCTTCTGATGCATTTCCTGACACCACCAAAGCCATAAAACATTTAAAACCATAAAGCTACAGGAACGCCATCTACTGGAACCAACTGAGGCATCTTCCAACTAGCTGGAGATGAACTCGAGCTCTTCCAATGTGAACTGCACGTTTATGTAACTTAAACAGGAAAAGCAAATTTAACTTTTCTGAACTCTGTCATTTTTTTATTCCTCCATTAAAGATACAAAATAATTTTTAAAAAATCACTTTACAGAATTGGGATTTTGGGATTTGAGATGCCAAAAAGCTTGAGTGGAGAAAAAGGTTTATATCATTCCTGAGTTAGCCAGTGACATTGTCTTCAATAAAAATGGAGAATTTTAAAAGGTCAGGTGTGCAAAGTAAAGCAGTCCTTGAGCAGCTTTAACTTATGCAACAGGCACTTATGTGGCTAACTCAAGGTCTTCTTGTCCTTAGTAGAATTACAGTGCTAATCTTTACATAAGGATGAGCTGTCCTGAATAGTATCACCCTCTTTAAAAGGTACATGCAGGCTTTTATTCTGTATTGTGCCCAAGCACCGTATACATCATATTGCCTTCCTTCTCTATGTACAGCATATAAGAGTATCTTAAATAGCAGAAAATTAAAAATAATCTGCACAATTATTTTTCTGTGCATATTTCTCCCACTGCTGAGAAATAACGCAACATTAAGCAGACAGAATGACTGTAAATGATTCCCTTGGCAAAGAGAATGTGGTTACAGTAAGTGAACAGTCTGTTGCTGGTTTTGCTTCAGACTTGCTGAATGAACCAAGTCACTAAGAATCTCTAAATTTCATTTTCTTCTACTCACTTCACAAAATGCTGCAAGACTAAATATCTGCAAAGCATGCTGACTGGTTTAGTATTAAATTCCTTTTCAGGTAATTCTTAAATTCATTAAAAATAATACAGGCCTTGTATCAAACACACTCCATGTGCTTTTGTAAGTTTTTTGTTTTCCTGCAGCCTTGCAGAGTTGTTAGGAAAACTCACCAGGCACAAAGAGCAGCTGTCTTCATTTAGCACTTGAATAATAAGAATTCATATATTAATTATATGTTACCTTTCATTAAAGTTAACTATTTCAGGCAAATATATGACTAACATTTTGCAAAACTGTTCCACATTCTTATGAAATATAGATTTAGAAGACTGTGTATTTTCATTATGTCCCTGTGTCTATTCCACCTTTAGATTGGAAAAGCACCTCATACATACATTTGTATTTACAGGCAATCCAAATAATGGTGTATTGTCAAAACAGGTACTATCAGTTTCCTATATGTTTTGGATTTGGTTTTTGGTTTTTTTTTTACATTTTTACTATATTTCTTTTATTTTGTCTATATTGCAAATGCAGATCCCACATCTGTCTCATTAGAAACGCAGTAAATGATTTTTTTTATACACACACGGGATCAGAGACGTGACAAGCTAACTATTACAATGCTTAACCTTCCAATTTTTTTCTTACTGAACAGTTACTTGAAATAGCTAAATCATGGATATGCCCCTCATCAACCCAAAGCCATCCCTGAAGCCCCCCAAAATGTTCTGCTTTGTAAGAAATCATGCCCAATATTATTTTCCTCTCTTTTTTCCCTGGGATGAGTCAGGATGATCAGGAACTCTACTGCATTTTTTTTTAAAGCACTTGAGTCATGCAGAGGGGTTAAGGTCTCCTCAGTAAGAAGCCAATGACGCAGCCTTCTAAGTTAGATATCTGCAGGGAAGAGAATCCACATTGCAGATCTGGATTTTTGCCCACATCATTCCAGTAAGTGATACAGTTTAAGATTCTGCATTCAGTCTGCGTTAGCAGAGATGCAGGTATCTACTTGAATACCCATTACCTTTAGGAAATGAAGGTAGAATAGACTGCTCCCTTCTCCGAGTCTAACCCCACAAAATCCCAAAAGGGAGCTCCTATGACTAGTTTGAGGATAGAGAAAGAATCACAACAAAATTGTTTATTTCCATATTACCTTCACAACTTTCCAACTCTCTCTTCCTAGAAGAGAAAGGGAAAATTCAGTACTTTACAGAAAGTAAAGATCTAACCTCATTTTGAGTAATATGCAAAATAATAATGATTGCAGCCTTAATCTGGCTTCTACAGACTTGGAGAAGTAATGCATACCTGCTTCCTAAACGACTCTCCGTTTTCTTAGCCAAAAACAGCCGGCAAATATCTTTCGTTTCCTCTGTAAAGTTGGCATGTTCAAATTTCACTTCATCTTCCAGAGTTCTTCTTTTAATCTCATCCTTATCGACCTTTTCTTTGAAATCCTTGAATGGTGTTCGCCCAGCGACCATCTCGTAAATACTACACCCCATTGCAAACCAGTCCACAGGATAGCTGTAATCTTCTTCCTTCAGGATTTCCGGAGCCATGTAACCATTTGTCCCAGCCTATCAAACATACAGACCAGTTTATTGTATAATGTCAGTAATGAAATGCATACAATTAAACAAACTAGTCTACAATTCTTCCAAAACATTAGTAATGCAATTGATATATTTTGTATTATGATCTCTGAGATGTAACTGTTTTAGCATAGGGACTATACCTGTCTTTAAACATCTTAGCATATGGGGAAACTGTTTTAAATCTGCTCTTCAAAGGTGAAATGTCTGTGCAGTTTCTACCTTGAAGGTTTTTTTTATTAAATTTATGTTTAAATTGCTTTATTCTTCCACGTTATTTTTTTCCCATTGAAGACAGTGTTGCCAGCTTTTTCTGTAAACACAATTAGCAATCAATTTGAAAAAATGAAAACCAGGACAAAAATCAGACAAACAATCACTGATTCCCACCCTATGCAGTAGTTAGAACTGGCCCATGAGAAAATTCTCATCAAGACAGTAGCTGAGCTGCATGAGGAACTTCTCACCCTCACTCCCTGTTGATTTCTGGAAGGAAATATTACCATCAAGGGCCAAGAAAAACCTTGTAAAACCATTGTAAGAAAGTAAACTTATGAAAATTATAATTAGTAAATTATATGCATTCAGGTGAAAGAACAAGTTCATATTTCCTAACTGAAAAAAGCTCTCTGAATAAAGAGTACTACTTGTATACAGCACTAACAGACCCCTCCTCAAGAGGGGTGGCTGCTCTTTGAGAGAGGAATCTGCCTGCTTCCTTCCCAGGCCAGGCCTGGCACATTCCCCTTGGGGTCAGCCTGCACAGTGTTCAAAACAGCTCCTGCTGCCTCTCTCCAGGGAGCTGATTCACCTGGGAGGGAAGAGAGGAGGACAACAAACTCTCTATATGCTTTCTGCTGCACTGTTACATGACTGAGGGTCTGATATTTCCATTGGAATAGCATTTCCACAGCTGACCCAACACTTCCCTCCACATCTGATGCTGTATCTTATTTTACATATTTCCCAGATGCAGTTAACAGTGATAATTATTTCAGAAGTTGCTTGACTCTCTTTTACCTTTTTGAAATACTGGGACTGATGTTCAAATAATATTACAATTTACAATTAAAAAAATATGTTTGTGCAAATCCCACCAAAGTTTATTCAAGATGGTCATTTTTATTGCTACCAGAACACAAGTAATGACAGAGATTCTTTCCAAAGCAAGACAGTCAGAAAAAGGTAACTAAAACTAGAGCTTATTTGGGCAAATTATGTTTTTAAAAAGCACAGCTCAACAGATTAATTTTCCTTTATGTGGTCTGTGTAACTCCTCTAACTTTTGCAACTTCAGGCTCAGTATTTCTGAGTCATACCACTACACATTATGGCATATACTCTACTGTAAACAATGTGTGCGAGGGAATATCATAGCACCAATTACAGCATAAACTTAATGGACAGAAAATTAAATTCAGTTTGTTTTCCTTCTTTGTGTTTTTGTGTTTGGTTGGGTTTGGAGGGTTTTTCTTTCCCCACTTTTAGGGATATAGAGAAAAACTATCCATTTGGTTGAGGTGAGAACAACATAAATATCAGCCAGGCTGAAAGCAAGATAAAAAAAAAGTGAACCATTCCCTTTCTCGCTAAAGCCACAAAAGTAAGGAAGAATCATAAGGGCACTGCAGCAGCTGACATAATTCCACAGGTAATTTGCACTGTTTGCATTGAATTTCTCTAAGCAAAAGTTAATACTGAGAGAAACCCTGATAGCATTACATTTTTATGTACAATTATTGCTCTGTTCAGAAAGGGGGTCAACTGCTCAAATACAGACCACAGAACCGCAATTCATATGGCCTCAGAAGGTCATGAAACCTGGAAGGGAGAGGAGAGGTTGAAAGCAGTAGGGAAAGTCTGGTACAAAAGGGGACACACAGAGCTCACTGCAGGTTAGTGAACACAGACACTAAATAGGCTTCTCAATATTTTTTGGTTTTTTTTTCTTTTTACTTTCCCCTTCTGGGAAGCAATAAACATTTTTACTGAGATGAAGCTGGGGCACTAATGCCTTGAAGAACTGATGAGTCATATCATCATCAAAACGTACCCTGAGAGCACAGTATGGTCTTTCTGATAAGACATAACTTAGCTGCAATAGCATCATTATACAGGAACTGGATAAATCTGACTTGGAAAAGTCAGAATTCTCTGGTTGTAATTGTGTCTCAAGGCAGCTCCTTTCAGACTGCCTCTCTTTCCTTTCACTTTTTCATAAGAAGTAGTTGCCAGGTAACTTCAGTCTCTCCCATGTGCATTTTCCACATAACCTTCAACAAGTCACCCCATCTAGAAGAACTCTGTGCTTTGACATGGTACTCAACACAAGAGAAAACAAGACCATAATCACAGACCAAGACGACTTCATGACTACAGTTTAATAGAAAGTAGAGATGGACCAACATGGTAAGAGAGTGTGATTGGGGCTACTGTAAACAAGAATTAAGAGTCAAAATTCTAAATCGGTAGCACTGAAATCTTCTGGCTTGTTATTGAGCTGATCCAGCTCAATCTGAGAAAAGTCTAGAAACTTATCTCGTTCCTCTGATACGTCAAACCTTTCCAATTCAGAATTTTATGAGAGATGTTTTTCTCATGGAACTTCATCAAAACTTACACCTAATCTTCGAAAAAATCACTACCAATCCTAAAGCTTTCCTATAATCATAATGAAGGAACACGGCTGAGAAGCAGGAATCTAAACCTGATCTCATAACCCCCAAGGCTCAAAACCCACTGACATATTACCATTTCATAGCAGAAACAAACACATTTTGCAAGTACTCTGCACTGATGTTTAGGGGGAAAGAAACACATAAACAAACAGGGGGAAGAAACATACAGATCTCTGCAACCTTTATCAAAATCAGAATTTGAAGAAAGGAAGAAAAGAGCTTAAATTTTAGTCTTTTCCACTATTTATACATATGTGGAGCTTTGCCAAATTTATTTGGGAAGAAAGATGACAAAACCATAAGCATTTTCTGTATTCAGGAACACAAAGTAATTATTCAAACCCCTGGAACTGGAAGAACATACATCTTTCAAATGAAGATTTAATTCTGTTTCTTGGGAAGGAGATAGTATTAGAGGAAAGCTAAAACCTAACATCCCTGCACTAATCATTATACCAAACAAAATGTCAAAAATCAGATCATCTTTCAAAGAAAAAAAGATACCGTGGCAACATGAAAGGCAGCCTCGCTGACTCAAAGGTTTATATAAACAGGTAAGGAGAACTTAGTGAAAGGCATTTTTAAACTATCCAACTCTCACTAGCAGTAGTGAGATTTGAGCAGCAAAAAAATATTTCATTAGGTAGAAAATGTATCCACTGATTCCTAAAGCAAAAATGAATCAAAGTAATAGGTTACTCCCAGCAGCCCAAGGAGTAGATTAATATACTGTAAATTATACTCCAATGTAAAAGGGGAAAATACCTAAAAACAGAAAGCAAAGGAATTAAAAGATATCACAAAAAAGATAAACACATTATTTTTGAAAAGGACTCTATTTTTCATGGGCTGGTATTGAAGATTTAATTCAGTCAGAGTTACCTGATCATGCCTCGGAATGGATGCCCCTAATTATGGGTTACAGGTGTGTTTAACACAAAAAAAATCACTAGGTTTGTATGATTTGATAGTTGTTTTCACTCAATACAATTTATAAGTAAATTTAGAAGTGTATTAACTGAAAAACCCTTTCTTACTGGATCTTATTTTACATGGGTAAATTTCACTCTATTAATGGCAACAGGGAAATACAAAAAACCCCACACTCAGAAATTGAATTCCTTTCTTGTCAGCTTTACACTAGGATGTGCATTAGGTTTTGACTGATGCTAAGAACAAGCACATTATCTTCTTTTTTCCTCTAGGATTCCTGCTAAGACCAGGAACCATTTAACATATGTGTTGATGACTCAAGAGATCTCAGAGACACAAATACACATGGAATTACATCTTCATTTACCTGGAAGCGTCTAATGGGACACCACAAAAGAATATCACAAAGGAGCCAAAGAATATGGTATTATCCAAACATTTTTTACAGAAGGCAGAAATCATATGCCCCACAGAGTCACATAACTCTGTAGTTAAGAGTAATACTAGCTTTTTCTTGTTTGCTTTCCATCTCGTACTGTCTTTTGTGATAATGAGCAGGATGCCTTAACTTGCATGTGCTGTCTGAAATACAAAAATAGTAATTAAATTTCAGTCAATTAAATTTTCATTTACCTGCTTTTGAAAACAGTTAAAGATCTACTTCTCCCTTTCTCTACCTTGAGAACAACCCAAAATACAATTTTTCAATAATCCTCTAAAATGTAATGACCAAATGTTATCCTCATATACATTAGTGAAGAAGTTCCATTAAGTGCTTTGAGTGGGTTTGACAGGGCATAGTAGAAATGACTCATCTGAAAGTACACAAATGTTTCTTTTGTGAGATGAGATCCTGCATAAATTTTTAAAAGGTCATATAACTATAATCTTTCAATAATACAAGATGTGATCCTGAGAAGCACTAAGTGCACTTAGTACCCAGTACAGTCAACGGGTACTTGGCACACCACAGCTCTGGGCAGACTGAGGCCCATAGCATAATTATGCTCAGACATCCTATTCAGATTGCTGTCCTGAGAAGGGAAAGTCCCTTAAACACCAGCATTATCCCAGCTTCTAGCAGAGGCAGGGGGGAAAGAAACAGAACTCTCTGAAGCACTTTCATCAGAACAGAAACAGGCAAATGAGGAGAAATGGCATTTAGATCTGTCTCTACCTTTTCCCACAGATCTCTGCAAAACAAACTCAATAGATACTAAAAACCAAACAGTAAAGCAAATCAGAATGTCTATCTTTTGTTTGCCATGGCACAAGAACTGTTGAACACGGGAAAAAAAACAAGCTCAGTTTAGCTCTATCAGCTGTTTCCTGGGGCTTGGTCCTTCCTTCCTCCAAGGGGTGCCACTGCCTGCT